AATTTTCTTGATTCCAGTGGTTATCTATATATTATAGGGAGCATTCAGTATTGATTGTTGTAAGAAAGGTAATATCACCTATTCGAATAGGTGATAGCAGTTATTCAAATAGGTGATAGCACCTACTAGTATTTTGCAGGAAAAGGTGATATCACCTTTTATTCTAAGCTCTCTGATTGGCTCAAACTTGATCACATGATTAAGTATAACAGCATAAAGACTTGAGTTACTATTTATAGAATCTGAAATGCATATTGACTTCATGTTTTTTTTTCTTGTGATCATATGCTATATTGCAGGAGTCCTTTTAGAAAATTTCATTAAAGTGAGTGACATCAAATAGTATTGATTTCTCAATTAAAGATAATACAGAGTATGACTTGATGTTTCTGAATAAAACATTACTACAACTTGTATTAATATTTTTTAATGTTCCGCAATTGATGAGACGCGTAACAATGCTTTAAAGTCTTGAATTAGGATCTACATGTACTTTATATTAAAACATATTGGATACCTTTGTCAAAAATTGATACGAAACATAATCAAATAATTAAATTAGTATTCTGAATAACTAAATCCTCTATAATTACTCCATCAATGTATAAAACGAAACACATTTATTTAATATTAAACAGCAACAGCTTAACTTATGCTGATCTCTAGTCTTTAAGTCTTGAAGAGAGAAAACTTGTGCCTTATTCCCATATTTTCAAATTTTGTTTTGTCAATCTATGTGATAAAATGATTTATATTCGATAATAATGTTAAACTTTACATTCCTATTTAATTGAGTTTACAATCAATTCTAGTTAAATTTGTCATATTTCCCAGAATGCAATCATGGCATTTATTGAAAAAGAATTTAAAAAAACATCGCATAGGAGATCATAGAGATAAAATTATGTAAAAAGATGAGAAGTTTATCGAATAGGAATCGTATTTTTTTTTTCGAATAGAAATGGATGCTAGTATGTTTTCGAACAACAACTTTATTGCATATAAACCAAATAATTCAATTATCGAATAAAAAAGATAAAATTATTGAATAGGAATGACAGAATTAGCGACTAGCAACCGATTGTTTTAAATATTAATGACATCGAATAGGAAACGCGTGTTTTCGAGAGTAAAATATGTTAATTTTATGATATATGAATCATATTGTCACATTTCCTGTAATTGGAATAGCAATTTATCGAATACAAAATACAACTAATGGAATAGAAATAACAAGTATTCATATAGGAATCACATTGTATAAAATAAGAATTTTTTAGAATAAGAATAATCTAATTCTCAAGGTTATGGTCCGAAAGCGATCAATTTTCAAGCCGAGACAGGCTACTGACAAATAAGTTAATTGTTACAGGGATTTCAGCAATTTATTTAAAGTCAGCATTACTTACATGCTATGGTCGCTATAATATTGCTCTTTTTCACAAATATAACCTATCATTGGAATTATTTTGGTCGATGTGTTTCATTCTAATTTTTAGGCTATTAATTTTGTTATTTTTATACTGAATTTGACTAGATGGGATGTTCCACCCGCCTGATCAATATATATAGGGTTCACTTTCTAGACAGCAGATTTTTAAGATTATGTTTTATGCCCTATTCGTTGTTTTGTAGTTATTTATGGATGCCATGGATTTTGGAAAGTATTTTCAAAAATAAAGTTGTCATGCTTGAAGATAACTGAAATCGTGCACTGATCAAAATGTACATATATACACGGGGTGATACTGTATGTTAATTTCTATTATTCTTGAAAAGGGAAAAAATTGAAATCAAAATATAAATAAAGTGATATTGCATGATAAATCTCGTAAAACAACTTCCCAGCTAAAAAAATGTTCAAAGTTTGAGGTGGGGTCAATATTCAACAGGGTCAATTTTCAACTTGTTGACGTCATCAGGTGTAAGAAAAAAAATTATCAAGCTGTTGAAAAATGACCCCGGGTATAAATTCAACGACTTTTGGTCTCAATATTCAACGTTGAAAAATGACCCCGGTTCAATATTCAACGTTGAAAAATGACCCCCGGGTCAATTTTCAACTCGGGTCAATATTCAACGTTACACCGGCCTCTACTCATGAGTTCTTGCTTGCTTAAATATCTTGAATGTTCATTTGTGTTGTAACTTGCATATTCTTTAACTGTCTTTGAAGTCTAATTGATTATTGAGACACATATTGCAGATCAGGCCTTTAATTTTAAAAGTTTGAGAAATTTACTGATTTCAGTATTTTGTTAATTTTTCTCTCACTTCGGCCAAAGTCAAGCTAGCTTTTCTGATCTCAGAGCGTCCAAAATCTATTTGTCTTGCTGTTATGTATTGTTCCTTTCACTTTTATATTCTTTTCAAAAACCATTCAGTTCATTTAAATCAAACTTTTCACAAATAATTTTTGAGTATAGAGGATTCATATTTCTTGAAAAGAAGGGTCACTTCCTCTTTATAATAGAGATTTCATTCAGAAGTCGTGAAAACTTGGTAGGGTCTTGAAAAAAAATCTTCTAAAACCCGATAAAATGCAGATTCCAATTTGTTCAACCGTATGCCACAGGAGTAAGATGAGATTAGAAAGGTGGGTGAAAATATTTTACAAAGGAGGCATGAGTCTGATTTGTAAAATTTGTGTAAAAGCTTCAGACCTAAGGACAGTACGTGTCCATATATGTTCAGGCTAATTGAATTAGCTATAGCAAAATACATGTTCAATCTAAGGATTTTATTTCAGCTAGGAGATGATGTATGACAAGTAAGGTTTAGGGTCTGTCGAAAAATATTACATTTATATTTTGAACATCTTTACAGGGTTGTCCCAAAATTTCGTAGACTGAGCTCATATCTTTTAAAGAAATTAATGTATCTTTATGAAGTTTTCAGGGTGGATAAAGCGTGTTCTTGGCAGATAAATTACGAAGTTTTATAATGTTTACTTGAAAACTTTTCGAGATATAAGATTTAAAGTGATATCGTTCTCTAACACCCGGAGCAATCTGCAACGTCAAAAATACAAATGTCAACGGTTCAATTTTTGGAGAAAATATTTCAATTTCCAGACTCAAATTCTTAAATTAAACGAAACGGTTATAGTTGTAAATGTGTAAAATCTTAATCAATTTGAAATGATCAAACATTAAATTTGAAATCCAAGTATATGCTTGTACAGGTATGGAATGAAAATTATTTTAAAACATTATATTCTATGGGTTTTTCGCGGGTTTCTCTAATGGAGTTGAACAATGGAACTCTTGCCCATTTCTTAGCCATTTCTTTTATTTTAGTTACTGTTATTCACATATACATAGAGAAACCGTTTTAGTCATTTTAAATACTAAGGACGAGAAAAAGTTTCCTAGTGTACCAAATATTTATGACTTGTACATTTCCGTAAGAGTTTATTTAGGATCAAAACACTTGAACATTGTCCAGTGCGCCGCCTGTGCCAATGCAGCCGCCATTTTTCAAAAAGACGGATTTCAACCCCATGTTTATAAAACGTTATAAAATTCATATTTATCAAAGCATAAACACCAAAATTTGAGGAAATATAGTTAATAAAACAGTATTGAGAATTTTCACTTCAATTAAAAAAAATTACAGTGTAATAATCACTTTTCTGTAGGATTATAAATATAGTATTCCAAATTTTAATTGCAACTTTTGGGTATTGCGCCGCCTTCCTACACCAGACAATGAAATGTGTCTTTAAAATTGGAATAATTTGTGTAGTTACTCAATATTTGTAAATAAATTTATTAGATAGTATTGGTTTAATCTATATACGAAGTTTCATTACTAGGGTTCCTACAAAACAACGCTTGTCTACGGAATTTCGGGACAACCCTCGTATAACTATTCTATAGAAATGTAGATTTTTACCTTTTAAGGTCATACATGTACGCAACGTACATTGTAGTTTTGAATTTTATTGGGTTCTTCCCAGGAGTTGAAGAGTTCCACTTTATGAAGGACCTGTGGGCAATACTTTAATGTCTATATATGGATTTTTACACCTCTTCTTAAACAAATTTTGTTGGAAAAATGTCTTGAATTTATGTCTCGTAATATTTGTACATTTTTCTCTGAATGATGCAAACATTTTCATAATTTGATATCTTTTCAAACCCCCTGGTAACGCATGCTGCTTTTTCCTCAAAGAACATGTAATGGTATTATAAGGTTAAATTTAGAATATCATGAAAAAATACGAGTAGAAAAGGTACCTTGCGTATGTCCTTAAATCAGTTTTTTCATGCTCAAAACATTCTGTTTTTGGCTTTTCTCTTAAATGAGCATGAAAAACTGATTTAAAAGGTAAAAATTATGCATTGTTTTCATGCATTCACTTGGAGTATATTTCTCCAAAGGAGCTGGAACAAGCCGTGTCTGTTCGTAACGCATTTTTAGTCAGAGTTTCCTCAGCAACTAATAAAAAAAACTGATTGAAATTTTAAAACAATCTTCTCTGAGGCATGCCATATGTTGGGGTCTATTTTTTGTTTAAATCCGATGTCAACTTCCTGTTTATCTATGTGTTTGTCTGTTTAATACATACCAAATTTTTTCTTAGTTTACTCAGCAACTATGCATCGCAGATGCTTATAATTTTAGTACACTCTTAATTGTTAAAGCATGCCATATGGTGGGATACATATTTGTTTATTTCTAATGTCAACTTCCTGTCTATCCATGAGTCTGTCCGTATCATACATTACACTAATTTTTGTCGCAGCTATCTTAACAACTACACATTACAGATGCTTGTTTTTTTTATGTTACATAGTGATTATAAAATGTGATTCTCTTCACATACGCATTGATAATGAACTTAAAGTCTTTATAGATAAAAATTGAAAATGTATTACAAGATTTCATAGTCATACTGTAGCATATTGAAACATAAGTGATATTATGTATCTCTAATATAGAATATAATTCACTCACAGTGATGTAATTCAATGGAGATATTTAATTTTCCTCACTTGTTTGTTTCCCCACTGGGCAACAAACAGATTGTCATTTGTATCTGTACACAGTCCACAGGGTCTACTCAGTCCACAGCTGTTTATGTAACGGAGGAACTGTCCATCCTGGTCTATGATGTAGACACAGTCATTGTTTATATCAGCTGTAAGGATGCGACTCTGACTGTCTGTGGTGATTCCTCGTGGACCAAAGGCTTTGCTCTTAGGAGCAGGGGTGTGTCCAGTGTACCTAAATCTCAGTTTCCCGGCCTGATTGACCACCACTACTGCTCTAGCTCCATTGTCAGACACACAGATATCCAGGTTCCTGTTCTCAGTAATGTATTTATATTCATTTATAGAAATTAATTCTGATGATGAATAGAGATGTTTACCTTTATCATCAAACTGAATGGTTTGTTTCTCTGTGGAGCCATGGTAACGGACAACTTTTGTTTGTTCGTTATATTTACTGACCATGATAACCAGGAGGTCACCAGAGGAGGTACTACAGACACCGCTAGGTTTCCAGTTCTTTCGTCTGATCACTTCTATCTTCTCATTCTTCACAATGTTCACGGTTCTATCTTTATAATCAGTATAAACCAGATCTCCATTTTTTGTCACTGCTATGTCATATGGTACTTGTAATTTCCCTGACTTGGTTGGGATTGACTTGAGTAGTGATCCCTGATTGATGCTGTAGAGTTTCATAGTGCTGTCACCTCCACTTGTCCAGATTTCTTCTTCATTCAGACAGGCCACATTGTTAAGGCATCCATACTCAGTTTCTATGGTGGTGACAGTCTCTGGTTCATCAAGCAGATGTTTGACTGGGGGAGAGGATCCAGCTTCTGGTGATTTCTGTGTTGTCTTTATGCTGTAGCCATGTATATCTGATGTTAAAGAACTTGATGATAAGGTTCCAAATAGTTTATTAAGTTCTTGTATTTTTTCTGAATAGAATTTGGGTAAGAATAGTACTAATTTGTTTGGAAGATTTCTGTATGTATGTACATTGGACGTGACACTTAATAGTTTTGACAAGTCATTGGTGTCTATTGCAGTTTCCATTGAATCAATTTCATCCTTGATTTCAGAAATTTTTATTATTATTTCATCCAGATGTTTCTGTAGAGTTTGTAACTGTG